CTGTCTCATCATCAGCGTCCCTCACGAATCACGATTGCTGACAGGTTGCAGTCTGCGTCAGGTTCACTTTACAGTGAAGCCACACAGCTTCTGGTCTCCGCTGCTTGGCAGCACAGGTGAGCAAACATCATCGCTGTTACCTGCGGTCTCAGGTAAATAAAAGGGGAAACTCCCCGATACCTTTACTTGTTACGATAGAAAGGCTATCACTATGTTTGGCACTGACTAAGTAGGCTATTATTTCTAATGAACTAGGGGCATTAGGATCAAAACATATATATTTATAGACTTTATCAGCATTTGTTTATCTCATCACCGTGGTTAAATAATTTAACCGTTTTGCATAATTGGTTTCAATCACTGCCTGGCTCGGTGGAGCAAATCAGCTGTCCCTGCCATGACACACCGCTCAGGTGATCAGCTGCATACTCCGGGGAGTCAACTGGTTAACGAGCTGCAGCTGCGGCGCTAATTCTTCAGTCATAGGTTATCCTTAACAGTTTGAGAAAGACTCCGTTATTTTCATCTTACTTTTCACACTGCGTGTTCCGTCGTTCAGTCACATAGTCCAGTAGGATATCATGTTTAATACAAGTCAGCTAGATGGGGTGATCATTCAATCTGAATCTTTCAGTAATTTTCTCAGCGTCACGTGCACGCGTCGGGGATCGAGGCATCTGATATCAATGCATCTTCTCTCTTCTTTTACCCGATCTACAAGAATTATTTAAATCAACGGGGGGAATAGTCAACAAGCGGCAATAGAGCGGTAGAAATCAGCATACCAGGTCTGCTAAATAATAATAATAACATGAATCAGACCGATCAATTTTATGCTCCATTTCTTAAAGGTAGGCCTAGAGAGATTTATAACAACAAAAGTCCACTCTTCTTAATGTCTCATGAGAAAGGTTTTGAGTAATCCACATTTACTCGAGTACCAATAAATAAATAACCTTAATTCAAAGCTCTTTAGTAAGTTACTTCTAATCATTGTACAACAGGCATAAATTGACTGTATCAGGAGTTTAAGACTTTCACGTTCACTCAGGGTAGTTCTATGTATTTTCTTCTTTAACCAGGAAAACGTCAGCCGGTCATTCTAATAATAGTTATTTTCCAGCATGTATGGCTCATTATCTAATTCCTCTGCTGGTGTCTCGCTCTACAAATATGCCTTGCTATCTCTGTTCAACAGAGGGTAGTCATACTAATGTTGCTCAACTAATTGAACTGTTCCTGATATGAGGTTCAGCCATAATCACATTATGAAAGTCTGAAATTATTTAAAAATTAATTAATTAAAAAAATAAAATAAAATATATATATATTTTTTAAAGTAACATCTTAGTTAACAAACAATATTCTTAATGGGCATGCTCACATGTTAACTTGATTGTCACTGAGTTTAAAATCACCACTCTGTTATAAAATGTTCTTCAAATAGATAAGCTGAAGCCAGATCAAACTAAAAGCAGTGCTTGACAATTCATGCAAACAAGATCATCACTTAGAAATAGACTATATTAAGTGATTAAATACCTGGAAACGTCAATGTAGAACTTAACAGACTGGAAGTGATTTTCTCATTTTAAACCAGGTAACAGCCAGAATATCACTGTAATTCAAAAGTTTTAGTTTTAATGACAGGAAGTTGTTACTCTCTGACAGCAATCTTGCAGGCATGTAAGACGGGAGAACACTCAAATTCAGCGATGAGTTGGTGCAGGGCAAGTCTTTATTTCTGCTAAAGTATTAGCAAATTTAGCACTGGGAAACCTGGCAAGTGTCAAGGATGAGACTTACAGTTTAATGCAGCTTATACTACATCATTGCTACATCACCAATGTGGTTACATGTTACATTAATGTTCACGATTATTGTGTATGGCTGTAAGATTTTGCAGCAATTGCTTTCACGCATGTCCCATGTTAAGTGCTTTGGAAAATAATTTTCTGTCCTATACTGTCTTGATCAGGAAATCCTTGTCAGCGGGCACGCATCGGTTGATTTATCCACAAAGGTCAATCAGACCCATGTCATGCTGGTCACATGCTGGGTCGAACAGACCCCAGACAGGCCAAGACACATGACCGCAACTTAAGTCATGATGGGCCACTCGTCAGGTCATGGATCCTAGACAAGCCGAGGCATATGACATCATTCAGGGCATTCATTTAGTATAGGTGCTGCATAACGGCAGTGGTTCAAGGCATCACGTCCTCTTCTCTCAACAACTCGGGCGATGGTCTACCCTGCCTTCAAGTCCTTTATTTTTCCAGATATCAGTACGAGTTTGGGAAACCAAAGATCCCTTAAACCCTAACTATCTGGTAAGAAACTCATATAACTGGTGGTGGTGAGTATTATGGTCATTCTAATAGGTGACTGGTCTCTTAAACCTTAACTACTAGTAAGAAATTCATATAACTGGTGGTGGTGAATATCTCTGTCATTTAATGGGTGACTGGTCGTAGTTTTTCTTTGAAAACACTGGCGTCATTCGATGCTTCAAATGTCATTCAAGCACAAAGTGTATGCCTATTCATGTCATATCAATAAAGCTTCCGATGCTTCAAATGTCATGCAATCAGGCTGGTCACGTGTCAGGTCAAACAGACCTCTGATACGCCGGGCCAGATGTCTATATGTCAGTCAACAGACTAGCCGGGCCACGCGTCAGAGGTCGACGGACCCCACGTGCCGGGCACTTGACTTTAGGGCTTATCAATCGTCATGAGGAGCCACTTGTTAGGGCAGCAGACCCATACATGCAGGCCTCATGACTATAGCTCATTAGCAGTCGTGCCGGGCCACACGTTACGTGGTCGACAGACCGAAACGTGCCGGGCCACACGACTATAGGTCAGTCATTAGAGTCATGCCGGGCCACATGTGGGTTGACGGGTTGTCGGGTTGTCAGGTCAAATACCTAGACATACCGGGCATCATGACCCAGTAAATCACTATCTGCACAATGTGTATGCCTATTCATGTCATATCAATAAATGATCATGGTTATATTACTCCATCTAACTGTAATTTCCCACACAGATATCCATACAGCCAATAAGGTAAGGCCTACGATAATGGTGCTTTCTTTCTCACTTTTATTTTGGGGGGGTCTCCTAGCCTGCTGTCCTTCCGAGTGTGAAGTCGTCACGATGGAGTCTAATCCCCCAAAGACTTTGCACATTCAAAATTAAATTCTTGCAATTGTAAATAAATAATTGTTCATTCTCAATCTCCTGATTGAAATGGAGCTCAGCGTAAGTTCAGACAGGAAGACTGGTTATATTCTTCCACTCATTCATTCATCCTTTCACTTCAACCTAAACCACTCCCCCTACTACTTCCTCTGTCTCCCTTCTCTGGTGATCAGCTGATAATGGACGTTTATTCTATAAGTAATTAACCAACCAGATTCGGGCACAACCTCTCTCAACCAATCATCCTGCTGCGGCAAAATGCTAAAACAGTTCTCTCTCTACCACAGTCATTCTGTCATTTCAGGGCAACCGCTGCAACCCACCACCGCCCCAGACACCTTCATTCCAGCTCAGCAGAGTCCAGATTCAGGCTCATCATAGCCTCCATTCCTCTTCACCACCACCAGTGTCCATAGGGGGGTCTCCTAGCCTGCTGTCGGCTTCATTACCTTCCGAGTGTGACGTCGTCACAATGGAGTCTAATCCCCCAAAGACTTTGCACATTCAAAATTAAATTGTTGCACATTTATTGTAAATAAATAATTGTTCATTCTCAATTAAGTCTCTCCTGATTGAATTGTTTGTATGATAAAAATAAAGAGGGACAATATACATACTGGACCACATTGTTTGGTGTTGACCAATTCATGTATTAATCTAAATATTGGAAGTCATGATGTATTATTAACATTTCTCTACAGGCATTTGGCATCAGGTTAAATAGTCATAAGAACATAAAATATGAATGGTAAATGGTTTATATAGTGCTTTTCTAGTCTTCCGACTACTCAAAGCGCTTTTACACCACATGTCACAACCACCCATTCATACCCTTTCACACACTCATGTAGTGATGATTGCTATGTAGTATCATCCATCAGAAGTAACTAATGCCATTCATACACCACCACTGAAGCAGTGGGAGCAATTCAGGATTAAGTGTCTTGCCCAACAACACATCAGACATGTTGCTCAGCTGGGGATCAAACCCTCGACCTTCCAGTTGAGAGCTGACGACTCTACCAACTGAGCCACAGCTGCCCTATGTGCGTGTGGATGTGACAAACAGAAGGTTATCTTATGAACAGTTTGTCAAAGTCTGTCTTAGATAGTTCTTTTATATCACTCCTGGTCACATTGACCCTACGGACTGGCAATTCAGTTGTTTTGTTAAGTTGTATGCTCTGGGCCATTATGGTCAGCCTACATCCCTGAAAGGATTTGATTTGAGTTGAAATGGTAAATGGATTTGAACTTGTGTAGCACCTTTCTGTCATCTAACCACTCAAAGCATTTTTCCATACACATTACATTCACACACTGATGGCAGATCAGTATTCCATTTCCAGACTTTCATGAGCTGCTGGCATAGCAGCGGTGGCAATTTGGGGTGTCTTGCCCAAGGACACTTCAACACGGACTGCAGAATCGAACCCCAAACTTTTGGGCGACGACAGGTGGGCCACTTATCCACATCTGCTCCTATAAAAGTCAAATGGCTTTCTCATTCAATAGAAGCAAGATATACTATTGTACTGTGTTCTCTTTCTCTGGAACTGGAACTCCAAGTTTCCAGGAGCTTCCAGAGAACACAGGGGGCGGGGATGTGTTTTTTTTTAACCAGTCAACCAAGGATAAGAGAAAGCCTAAGAGTCTCTGAGATACTGTGAGCTTTTCTTAGTGTAGTGGGAGAGGTCACACATCGCTTGATTCTTTAACTAGCATGATCTTTGTATTCTTTGAAAACTGCTCACAGAAATGTCTTCTTATTTAAATGATTTTCTTCTTCTTATGCTTCTCTGTATTTTTGTTCCAAGTTTTCCAACAGATGAAGCCAAACATTTGAACTGTAAGTATATTTTCTTTTATGATTTTTTTTCAGTGAGAAATTTTGATGTTAAATGTTTGAAAACTTACAGTAGTTTTTTTTTTCTTCGAAGAAGCAGTCATGATTTAATGCTGCAGGAGAAAGCATTTACTCAAACAATTTATTTAAACCTTAGTGAAATGTATTACTCATTTGCATTAATTCATAGAATGGAGAAAAAAAGATTAAAACATGTAAACTTCAGCAGGAAATTGAAAAGAAAAATTGCCAGAACTTTTTTCAGCCCCTTTTAGAGCTTAGGTCATTCATCTTTTTATAACATGACTTAATGCATAAAATAATAAACTTGCTCAGAAAAACAATAATTACAATAACAATAAGTTATGAACCATAATTTTAGATAGCTTTTTAAAAAAAAAAAAAAAAAGCATTTTCCATAAAGAAATGTTCTTCAGCCAATGCTCTCCTATTTTTTTTTCTAGTTCTATTTTGCTTCAAAGCAACATATTTTAACAAAACTAATATTGTGATGTACAAGTGAAAATGTTACATATGAAGCCAAAGACACTCTGGCTCCTAAGGTTGTGTACTGCAACAACTGCTTCCTAGATACATTACAAATTAGTAACTTATTTGTGTACTTTCAGGTCATTTTGGTATAAAACACACATTCAATACAAAGTGAAAGAAAATGTCAAAATACTTGATTTAGATTAAAAGCTCTCTTCATTCAAAACCCTGTTCATATAAAAGCCAATATAATATTACTCCATGGCTTAAGAAGTTTGATTTAATTAATTAATTAAACTAATGATATATCATGGACTTCTAAGTCATTATATAATGGAAAAAGCATTTAGATATTTAACTTTTGTAAAAGAAGCAATACAAGATTCTCTACCAGTAAAAATCCTGCTTACAAGTAAAAGTGTTAGCTATAGGCATTTAACTGTATAGAGCTAAAAAGATCGCTTATCATGCAAGGACATCAAATGAAAACATATAACATTACATCATCAGTTTACAAATTGTGATACATTAATGTGCAAATTACTTGATGTTGGTAATGTGAAGCTAATTCTATCACTTTTTATGCTGCTGGTTTGATTGTTAAATTCCAATGTGAATCTATTTTTTTAAATTCTAATTAGCTTTGAATGATTGATCAATATCTGCACAGAAAAATCATACTATACTGTATTCTTATGGTGAAATAGAAGCACTTTATTTACTTCTGAAATGTAGTGCAGATGAAGCATAAAGTACTAGAAAATGGAAATACTCAAGGAAAATACAATTACCTCATAGTTGTACTTAGGCATAGTTATGATTACATGTACTAATTTAATTTTACGTGACTAGAAAACACATGCTATGGGATCCTGATTAAAGTGTCAAAAGGAAAACTGATTGGGCTTTAAATATTATTGGCTTGATAATGAAAATAAATTGTCTTTAATCAAATTGTATCAAATTGTCAAGTGCTGTAAGAAAATAATAAAGTACATCAAACAATACTTTAATGAAAGTGTTAAGTACATTCCATCATGTTATACAGATGGTTCCAGTCTAATGAAAATATAATTGATTTGTATGATGATATATTATATTGTCTATGTGTTCCAGCAACAACAGTTGGAGAACTACTTCTCCACTCATATGAAGAAAGCCTTCAGATTGTAAATGCAGCCGCGGTCCACTCCAGGCTACGGTAACAAATAGTCATGAAGTTAACAAATAACCTTTCTGTCTTCAAATCAACAGTTTATGTCCAGGAGAGGACAGGAGATACCAAAATGTTTTTATGTGTATGGATCTCTCTGTGCCCAGGCGAAACACTCGCAGGCCTTCAAAAAACCTGTTTACATTCCATCGACAAACTGAGGCTGAAACCCTGGAGAGTTCACGAGCTGCAGAGATCTTTCAAACCACTCTGCAAGTCCTAAAGAGAAAAGCAAGACAAATACATACAAGGGATGTAATGAGATCAGGTAGGATTGTTTTCTACCATTAAATTCAGATAATTTGACCCTGAAAGGAAAACTAGGTAAACAGACACCACGCAGTCACAACTTGACAAAATGTCTGGTCACCTCTCCTACCATTGTAATAGTATAGCACTATGCCAGATTATGTAGAATTCTTGCCTCCCTTGTACTCTTCAAAGATGGCATGATTCAATTCAAAGTTTATTCAAAGTTTTCTTTGAATAACTTTACTGTCACCATGCCAGGATTGCTCTCGTGGGAGGATGTGCAGCTGATTGCAGAGTTGTCTAAGTGTCCTCCTGCAACCCATCCATCCATCTGTCAGCACAGTCATCTCAACAAATACCGTTCAATATCTGGCCTCTGCAACAACAGGTACAGTAGCTAACTTCAACCTTTAAAATGTCAGAAAGGGTCATATTTTCATGTTATTATTCACAGTTTTAGAACAAAGATTCCAAGCAGAGTTATTCAGCTTTTTGAAATATTTCATAAAATGGTTCATCTACAACAACTGCCAGCTGGTCTTGAATTTTAAATAAGACAAAAGTTAAGTGTATTATTCTAAACTAAAATTAAAGTTTCATCTTGGTGGTTCGGAGGTATAACTTATGCGGTGTTTCCTTCTTAATTTGAGCAGAAATCATTTAATTTTAAAGATGATGAAAAAATGATGAAACCTCTCCCATTAGATTGTTAAATACTGTATACCACCAACTTGCAACAGAAAATACATTTTTAGAGGAAAAACTATGGAAGTGATTTTAATTACCTTTTCTGGCATCTCAAAAATGTATTCTGAACTTGGTAAAAAACTTCTTTGATGCTTTTGGTTTGTCATCCTTTTTTTTTGTTGCAACTTCTTTATTATGTAAAGATCATTGTCCACGGTAACATGGAGCAGAAGACAAGGAAGTGTTATGACATGAAATAGACCAAAATCATCTGTAACTTAGCTAGATGATTAACATTTAAATGATGGAATATGAAACCTGGGCACCTGTGTCATATTCCTACTTAGTGACCTGTGTGGTAAAAAATGTGAACTGAGTTTGTCCAAAGAGGTAATGAGTACTAACCGCACCTCTTAACCCCTTTACTATCAGTCATGATAAAGAGTAGCAGAGCTTTGTTGCAAAAACATAAATAAAAAATGTAGTATTTAAAACGCCTATGAACCTGAAGGAAATAAAATGATGGACTCCCGGAGATATCCTGTCTTGCACTGCAATACTTTGGACACACTCCATTCATATTTTTGTCAGGCAAAATCCTCTCTGGGGAGCAAGCAACACTCCTTTGGTCAGATGGCTTCCAGCTGAATATGAAGATGGAGAAAGAGAACCAAAGGGTTGGAACAGAGGACTGCTTTATAATGGATACCAACTTCCCCAGGTAATCTACAAGATGCTTGTCCGAAGAGTACAAAAGTCTTGATGAAAAAAAGGATAAAGCAGCTTCAAGTTAATAAAGCTTTCCATTCATTTTTCTAACCCATCTTACAATATGTTAAAAAACGTGCCCATGCATACTTCAGGCAGGTAGACCACAAAGTTTGTGAAGACGTAACCTGCACCATCTCTTAGCCGCCCTTTTATTTAATTTTTTACAAAATGGGACAAGTCTTGCTACTTTATGTAACACATTTGTTTTAATCATACAGTACTATAAAACAGTAATATGTGCTAACTCATCCCAGCCCCTTTTTGAGCTAAGGCCATTCATCTATTTATGTTCAGCTCCCAATGGGCAATTTTATTTAAACAAGGCAATGTTTGGATCACATTGCTCTGTTTAATTCATTGTCCTTTGGGAGCGGAACAGTGTGCAATCCTTTTTCAATTTTTTTCAAAGACCATTTTGCCTGGATGTACTCACACTAGTTTTCTCCCACTAATCTATTTATACCATGACTGAATTAATAAATGAATTAATAAGCTTAAAAAAACATCAAAGCTATTCTCTTAACATGACTGCATGATGGGTTTCAGGTGATATGAAATTAACATGTTTGATATTACACATAGTTTTACTATAATTACTGAAATTGTAGCTATTATCTTATCTATTGTTGTTGCTCGTGTTGCTCTGTTGCTCTGTTTGTCCCAATCCTTCTTCCTGCATCTCTCTGTTCCATTGTTCAAGCCCAACACAGTTCAGCAGATGGCTGTTCATCATCAGTCTGGTTCTGCTCGAGGTTTCTGCCTCTTAAAGGAACTTTTTTCCTTGCCACTGTAACTTTGCTAAAAGTGGCTTAGTGCTGTACTCATGGTGGCTTAATGTTTGGTCTTTGTTGATAATATAACAATGAGTTAGGTCTTTTTCTTGCTTATTGTAAAGTGTCCTGAGATAACATTTTTCATTAATTGGCAATACAATTAATAAAGATTGATTGATTGATTTATCTGTTAATAATTAAATCCTAAACATTGACATGTCACTGTGGAGATTGGGGGTTGAAATAAAATTGCATATTCTAGTACTCATTGTAATCAATAGTAACAAAGCACTCTGTTTCAACAGCCACGGGATGTCAGCAAAAGAATACTGAGGAGCACTTCTAAACCGGAAGATGAAGACTATTCAAGCCTGCTGGTGGAATGGGGACAGTATATTGACCATGATATGACTTTTACCCCTCAAAGTACTGGCAGTGCTGCTTTTTGGACTGGCACAGACTGTTCGGATACTTGTGAAAATATGCATCCATGCTTTCCCATAATGGAGGTAAACTAGAAACAAAACCGTCTTTGTGCATACTTTCTGAAGTATTTCTTAAGTATTGATGAATTATCGTGCTTCCCCCCCACTTTTTCCAACATAAATGCTTATCTAAGGTTACTGTACACCAACATCATCATCATTGTATAGAGATTCCTTCAATCTTTTCATGTCTTTGATCATGAAAGCTGAAAACCACAACTCTCAAAATATCAGATTCCACTGTACTAAAATTAGTAAAAAGGTTGTTGTTTTTTTTTTTTTTTTTTTTTATCAAAAAAGTATCTGACGCTTTTAATACAAAAATATATCTTCATATCTACATTTATATCTTCTTTTATCTACAGACTGGTAAACAGGACTGCAAGCCTTTCTTTCGCTCCCTTGCTGCCTGCTTTGTCAATTTTCGGTCTGATATTAGAGTCACCCTGCAGCGACAGCAGATGAATTCAATCACATCATTCATGGATGCTTCACAAGTGTATGGCCACAGCCCAAAACTGGAGAGAAATCTTCGTGACCTCTCTGGCTGTAATGGAAAACTTGCTGTCAACAAACAAGTCAAAGATGTCAATGGAAGAGCCTACCTCCCGTATGTCAGCACTCTGCCGTCATCCTGCCTTCAGCATCCAGACGGAGAGAGAGTTGAATGTTTCAGTGCTGGAGACAGTCGAGTCAATGAGGGTCTGCCTCTGACCATTTTACACACACTCTGGCTTAGAGAACACAATCGGATTGCAGCGGCACTGAAACACATCAATGATCACTGGAGCCCAGAGACTATATACCAAGAAACTCGCAAGATAGTCGGAGCTCTGCACCAGGTATTTGACCATTGCTATATTTGATTAATTATAATTTGCATGTCAGAAATACACAGTAAACAAATATGATAATGGTATATTTGAACTTCTCTCCAGCTGGTATCCAGTTCAAACAGTCTTTCTGCTACAATAAATGTTGTTATAGTTCTGCTGTGGTGAAGTGAGAGTTTTGCCTTCAATGATGATCCTCCCGAGCCACTGTACCTGACAGAGTGTGTTGTTGTTCATGCCGTGTGTGAGCAGCAGAATAAAGTCACACAGTTCACATTGTCTGGTTCATTAAGTTCTTTAGGTGGCACACACTCTTGGAGTTAAATGAGGTGCAGGGCGCACAGAGCTTGGATTACGGCAATTGAATATACAGAGGTGTCTTTTGGACATAAAATGAATCAAACCAACCAGAGTGTTAGCTTCCGTTCCTTTGAAAAGCCACTTTGCTTTCACCTTTCAGTCTGGGAAAGGCAAAGTTACCTGTTGTTTGTATGTTGCTCCGTTTCTCTGAGAAAAAGACATGGGCACACACATATGCAGTAGGGTATCAGTATTTAAGTGTTTGCCCCTAAACATGCAGAACACACATAGGCCACAGCAAAATATATGATCACGTATTGAAGCTGTATTGGCTGAAAAATTCTGGTGTCAGAAGCAACACAACAGCATAAGACACAAAAGCGTAACTTAATTGATTCATATCTTCAGACAAGGAGACAGTACTTTACAGGATATTCAGTGTGCTTGAGATCAAAGACTGTTAACGTAACTAATCCAAAATCATTTTCTTAATCCACACCATATCGGCCTTATACAAGTAAAGATATAGAGATGTAAAATTGTCAGATGGAGAAAGCCCACGGCCTCTGTCCTTTAGAAACATGTTTTAAATGTACTGGCTATGCTCTGATATCAGAGCAGTTGGTTCTTACATGCATATGGTCCTCAAAATAGAATCACACCAGCTGTGTAACTGACCATGATTCATTTTTAAAACTACACCATGGGATACAATGAAATGAGCTATTTATTTTCAATGTAGGCACTGGGTTTGAAAATGACAACTGTGTTGGACAGACAAGTGCACTTTGCACTTTTTGTCAGGTGTAAGTTTTTGCCAAAAGAGTTGTAAATTCTAGACTCAAGCCCACCCCTTATCAGTCTGCAGACTAATCAGTATTTACTTTTATCAAAAGATGTTGAGTCTATCCTAGCCTCATCAAGTTCACTTTGCACTAAAGGCAGACATTGTAACGTTGATATTTTCATAGCAGCACTGAAGTGTACTATGTACTATGTCTGGAGAGGATGTTGCTCAGTTGGTAAGTCAGTCAGTCATCTCTAAACCGGAAGGTTCAATCCCCAGCTCCTGCAGCAACATATCCCATGTGTCCTTGGGCAAGAAACCTACCCTGAATTGCTCCAGCTGCTCGTAGTGTTTGAATGTGATTAGTTACTTCTGATGGTCTCTTTACACAGCAGCCTCTACCATCAGTGTGTGAATGTGTAGGTGTGAAAACACTTTGAGTAGTCAGAAGACTAGAAAAGTGTTGTACAAAGTCAAGTCCATTTACCATTACTGCTATGTGTGTTGAGCATGATTGGGCTAGTATGCATTTTTGCAAGTGTTTTAGGATTGATGTAGTGAACCAAAGACCTTGTAAATGTTGCTGAAATCAGATGAATCTGCACCTCCTTTAAGCATCCCTCACCTCCTTTAAACATTCATCCAGCTGAGGTGCATTCTAAGATCTGGGAAGGAGAGGACGCTGGCGTTGGCTGTTCGCCGCTTCTCCACCAGAAAAACCTAAGTATTACCTGGTTTTAGTACAGAATTTAATCCACTCATGTTGTATAAAGTTTAAACATTTATACACGTTTTTAACTTTGAGCCTTTTTTGCACAGTTTGTACTGATCTGACAGTGGCTTTCTGACCCACTGTAATCTTTTTCAAAACCGGCAAACTGCGAGTAAATCTTCTACTGTCGGAAGACAACCCGGACCTTCCAGTCTCTGTTTAGAGCTACTTCTGTGAGGTTTCTCCCGAACAGCCTCGCAGATGGTTCCCCGGAGCAGATAGGTTCGCTACCTCAGAACGCTACCTCCACTGCCAGCTAGCCAAAAGCTACCTGCCCTCCAGTCAACGAGCGGCCGGTGGCTACGCGCTGACTCCAGGCTAACACCACCGGCGACCGGCATGAATCGCATGATGTTGACATATTCCATCCCGCAACTGTTGACACTCAAAAATTGGACCACTTCAACATGAATCACAGCCATTAAACAACTTGGACTTCTGCGTCGGCCCCGTTACATCCACAGAAGCTCCCGTCAAAAGTTTGTGTACTTCAAGCCCAGTCACGCCATTCCATCCTTCTGGTCCTCAGCTGAGTGCACCGTCGCATGTCTGCAACGTCATCAGTACGCTGCCATCCCTGGAACAAGTAGCACTGGAAACTCCTCGAGATCACCAAACTTCAAGCAGCACAGAAAAAAAATGTCTTCTTTGGCCTCTACAATGATTCTCCCCTTCCTCAGCAGTCAAAATAGAGCTTTTTAATGCACAATCCATCTCAAATAAATAATCCTTTATTCAAAATCACATCTCGGACAAGGGCATTGACATGATATGCCTAACTGAAACTTGGCACCAGCCAGGCGTCTTCTCTGCCCTGAATGAAGTCTGTCCTCCTGGTTACAGCTACCTCGAGAAAGCCCGCAGCTCTGGGCGTCGGGTGGCGGTGTAGCTGTCTTTTGCCGAAATTCACTTGAACTGTCCCCCCTGCCCCTACCTGAACTGTCCTCATTTGAATGCCTTACATTTAAATGTAAACCCCCTTTCACCATGACAATTCTTCTCATTTACTAGCCACCCAAACCAAACTCAACCTTCATCTCAGAGATGCACGACCTTCTCTCCTCACTCTGCACAACCTCTGCCAACATTATAATACTTGGAGATATCAATATCCACGTCGACAACCCCTCTAGCCACCCTGCAGCTGAGTTCTTAGAACTACTGGACTGTCTCAACCTAACACAACATGTTGATGTCCCCACTCACACCAGGGGGCACACACTTGATCTGGTGATCACTCACTCTGCACCCATTACAAACGTATTAGCATACAATTTGGGTGTGTCTGACCACAAGGCTGTCTCAATGGAGCTGCCTTTCCAGTCTGCTCTCACCAAACCCAAGCGCCAGATTCACTTCAGAAATCTAAAATACATTAACCCGGACTCACTAACACTAGACCTTCAACATCTCTCCTCTGCTGACTTCTCATCAACCAGTGAAGCAGTGGAATTTTACAACAAATTCCTAAACAGTCTCCTGGATCTCCACACCCCTCTCAAAACCAGAACAGCCACGTTCCCACGCTCAGCCCCATGGTACACCTCCGAGCTGCGTAATATGAAGGCGACTGGTCGTGTCCTTGAACGGCGTCTCAATGTCTCAGGACTCACTGTGCACAGGCTAGCATATCGGGAACACCAAAAAGCCTACTCAAAGTCCCTCAGAAATGCCCGGTCACAGTTCTACTCAAATATCATAAATAATAGCTCCGGCAACTCAAAGCAACTTTTCTCCATCATAAACCATCTCCTTAATCCACCAACCCCCTTCCTCTCAGACACCACAGAGGAGCAGTGCAATGATTGCATCGACTTTTTCAGAACAAAAGTTGACACCATCCCCTCTCTCCTCTTCAGCTCCGCCTCTCCACCTGTCCCGACTGCCGACCCACAGCCGGGGACCACCCAGCCTCTCTGCTGCCTCTCTGCAATTACGCAGCGAGAGACTGAGGAGATCATCAAAAAATGAAACCTTCCACTTGCACCCTGGATCCCTTTCCCACAGCCCTGGTCAAATCAAACATCTCTGCCATAAGTCCCCTATCACCAAAGTCATAAATCACTCCCTACAGACTGGCCATGTTCCATCTGCCTTGAAAACTGCTGTCATATCACCACTTCTCAACCGCCTTCACTCTGTCATCGGTCTTTCTGACTCAGCCCTAGACTGGTTCTGTTACCTCACTGAAAGAACCGAACATGTCTCCCATGGAGTCAAAAAATCCCGGACTCACCTTGTCACCTGCGGTGTCCCTCAAGGATCAGTCCTCGGCCCCACCCTGTTCAATATCTACATGCCACCCCTTGGCCATGTCATCAGCCAACATGGAATTTCATTCCATTGTTATGCTGATGACACTCAAATATACCTAAAAACAAATCAAACCCCCTCTGCATCCCTGCCTTCATCGACACTGACCACCTGCCTGGAGGAGATAGAGGTGTGGATGAAGAACAACTTTCCAAAACAGAAGCTATTCTACTTGGCACCCCACACCAGATCACATCATCCCCAATAACCACCATCACCTTTTCTGGCCAAGTCTTCCACCTCTCTCCAACCGTCACAAATCATGGCATCAAAATGGACCCTCAACTGAACTTTGAAGCCCACATTAAACATCTGTGCAAAAACTCATTCTACCACCTCAGAAACATTGCCAAACTCCGTCCTACACTCTCCCTGTCAGATGCTGAGAAACTCGTCCACGCCTTTGTCTCCTCCAGGCTGGACTACTGCAACGCACTCCTCATCGGGATCCCTAGCAAGAGCCTCCAGAAGCGCCAAAATGTCCAGAACAGCGCTGCTAGGGTCCTGATGAGGGTGTGTAAATATGAACACATCACACCCATCCTTCAGACACTACACTGGCTCCCTATTTCATTCAGGATTCAATACAAAGTCACCCTTCTCACCTACCAGTGCACCCATGGAAATGCCCCCCTCTATCTCAAAGAACTCCTCACCCCACAATCCTCCACACGAAGCCTCCGCTCTGGAAACACCAACCTCCTCCATCCCCCCAGGACTAAACTCCACACCATGGGTGACCTTCTGCTCCTCTGCTCCCAGTCTGTGGAACGCTCTCCCTGAGCAGCTGAGGGCTCCACAGTCTGCTGATGCTTTTAAAAGGGCCCTAAAAACCCACCTTTTTAACAAAGCCTTCTGCTTGTGCTTTTAGTTTCGTTAGTTGATTAGTTGATTAAATCTGTTTTTATTTCTTTTTTTTTTTTCCTGTAGCACTTTGAGATTTTTTTGCAAAAATGTAAAGTGCGTTACAAATTAAATGTATTATTATTATTATTATTATTATTATTAATAATAATAAACTGTTATGGATCAAATATGGAAAACATGTCCAAAGCACAGGATATTACAAAATACTAATCTCACTGGAAATTCTGCAACTTTGTACTGTAAGCTATGTACACATATTCAAAAGAAGTAAAATATGCTGTGGTAACCTTTATTTTTCATTTAAATTGATACTTGTGTTCAAAGAGCATTCATGTGATGCAAAAAACTCTCAAAAATGACCGTCAAACTAATGAGATGTTCTGCTTGTTTATGATCCCTCTCTCTTCTTTAACTTTCAGATTATAACTATGAGAGATTATATTCCAAAAATAATCGGCACAGAATCTTTTGAACACTACATTGGACCCTATGGGGGATATGATCCAACTACTGACCCTTCAGCCTCCAATGTGTTTGCCACTGCTGCATTCAGGTTTGCCCACGCTACCATCACCCCCATTATCAGAAGACTTAATGAGAGCTTCCAGGAACATGAGCACTTCCCCTCACTGAAACTGCAAAACACGTTCTTCAGTCCATGGATAATAGTCAAAGGAGGTAAGTTCATTCTATTGAAGCTATTCTGTAAGCACAATAAAACACTATTCAAAAAATAATAATGATTATTTACTATAGCTTATCAAAATGTTGACCAAACTGGACACAGCTCTACTCCTTGTGCTTCTCAGTATTGTCCCCCAAGGCTGCTACATCTCTAGTCACTGACCATCTCACTCAATGGGCCTAACATCCTTTCTGAGAAATATGATTTACAGCACAGAATAAATATTACAAATAAAAAAATTATTTGTTCCGCACATGTCAAAACACACAACCTTTTTTTTAATCCCAGTCCATGTTCAGAAAGGAGCAGGGAGAATAATAAATATTGTCTTGCCCCTCACTCAAAAAGAAAACAAGAAATATCGAGCTTGTCTGTCCAATTACAATCACTTGACGACCTATACCACTGCAAAGGAAAAGGAGTCTTTGACTTCAGTCCCACATGGGAGGACACTGGCCTGTGAAGCTGCGTTTGTCTCCTGTTTTAAAAAGCGAAATAATATAAAAAATGTTCTAAATTCTTTTAAAATTTTGCATATTTTTGTGGAGCATTAAATCTCACCCCCAGCATGCACAGGCATTGTTTTTTTCTATGATAAAAAAACAAGAAGATTATTAAAAGAAATCACAGGATGACATAAAACCATGGTTGGTGATATCAAACGGAACAACATAAGCAAAGGCTAGAGAGAGCGTCAGAAGTTTACCAAGTACTTGATTCTTAGAGTTCATTCCAGTACTACACCCTACTCAGTACCACTAATCTTGGGTAGATATTGCTCTCTTTTGGACACAGTTCTACTCCTTGTGCTTCTCAGTATTGCCCCCCAAGGCTGCTACATCTCTAGTCACTGACCGTCTCACTCAATGGGCCTAACATCCTTTCTAAGAAATATGATTTATAGCACAGAATAAATAGAATAACAATGATTCCTGAGAAAGCAGCAAACCTTTGCCTGGAAGTGACTTAAATACATTTATACTCAGTTTCACAAAACATTAAGGAAGACTGGTGAAAATTAGCAATTTTGTTGAAATTCAATTGTTTTCAAAAATCTATATTAGCTTGAAAATCACAAGTGTATTTTTGCATCTGCAATTAAAAGATATCTTTCTGATATTGACTAAATAAAAGTAAGCTGTATTGCTTTTGTTTAAGGTGGAATTGAACCAATTCTGAGGGGTGTAATTGGAACCGCAGCCCGAACTGTAACTCCGGATAAGCTGTTGACAGAAGAGGTGACGGAGAGGCTGGTGGTCCTTAACGTTCCAAAACAAATGGACCTCGCATCACTGAACCTGCAAAGAGGACGAGATCACGCTCTTCCAGGTAAGTCCTGCACGTCAAGTTAGAGACAATACATTTAGAGCAGTTCCTTTGTCCTCTGCTTGATCAAAGCTCTCATGTTCATGATTCCAATTATAAACAATCTATCAACCCATACACAACCAAGGTTGTATTTGAAGGAGCTACTCACTTATGTTAAAGACACAAAAAACGTTTTCACCTTTACCGGCATTTCAGAATCAGAATCAGAATACTTTATTAATCCCTGAGGGGAATTCAGTCGTTACAGTGTAGAAATATAGTTATATACAAATCAAATATTAATCAAATAGAATGGTAAGTAAGACATATCTTTTTGATTTTATTTGTGTATTTGACAGGGACAGTGCACAGCCACTTAGTTGTACCAGAGTTATTTACATGTGTAGTGCCTGGGCCTGTCACAGACACAATGTCTCTGTTAATAATTAAAATATGAACAGCTGCACAACAATACATCACAACTATACAACAGCATTAAAAACCTCCACAGGGAACGTTACAATATGATATTAAAACATTTAAAAGCTAAAAGCACAACACAATACATTACCACTATACAGCAGCATCACCATCCTCCACAATGACATAAACAATACATTATAAACCAATCAAAAGCTACAAAAACAGCTATACAACAAATCACTGTACAGGAACATCATATGGAAGATAATCGTAAAAAGAATCCCAAAGTGACAGAGGGATCTGCATCAAATCAGACAAACTGCTATCAGTGAAACTCATTACTCCCAACAAAAAAACAAATGTGAATGTGATCATATTATTTTTCAGGATACAATGATTGGAGAGCCTTCTGTGGACTGACATCAATTAACACACTTGATGATTTCACGAAGGTTATGAGGGTTTCCAGGATTGCTAAGAGGATACTGAAACTATACAAACATCTTGATAATATCGATGTGTGGCTTGGAGGACTGGTGGAAAGTTTTTTGCCAGGCTCAAGAACTGGTCCTCTCTTTGCCTGCCTGATCGGAAAGCAGATGAAAGCACTTCGTGATGGGGATAGGTACACTCAAATGAACCCAAATAAAAATACGTGTATCAATATTATGTTCCTAACCATTTGACCACAATTCCAAATGTCTACTGAGATAAAAATGTCTTGGTGTACCTACAAAGATTTACAAATTTTCTGCGTTTTAAATAATCGATTGTCCATTGTTTTAGGTTCTGGTGGGAGGCTGAAGGAATATTCAGCCAACAAGAGAAGGTTGAGCTTTTAAAAGGGTCTCTGTCTCGGATTATCTGTGACAACAGCAACATAAAGGAAGTCCTTGCTGATTCTTTTAGGTTCAGGAAATATCCCTCTGGTTACATCCCGTGTGAACATATACCATCAATGAACTTTGAAGCTTGGAGAGAGAAGAAGAGCCCAGGTATGTTTCAAACTCTGTCACATGTAGTCCTGGCATTGAGGCACATTGGTCTGAGTCTATCTTCAAATGAACCCTTACAGCTTTTATGATTCAATTACAGAACTAAGGCGATGTGGCACTCCACGGGAGATACAGAATGGGGATTTTATTTTATCCTCTATGACTGGCAAACTTGTCGCTCTCTACTCCTGCTACCATGGTTTCAAGTTAAAGGGTGCTGCTGCAATTACCTGTGAAGGAAATCAGTGGAGTGATCATCCCCCACAATGCACAGGTACATTAACTCTTCTCCTGTGGATGTGTTTTATAACATTTACTTCTTTGTTTTATCTATGGGAACCTTGTTAGCATGGAAAGGAGATTCTGCTTACAACTAATTAATAGCATAAAAGCCTCATTAAATGAATTACTGTGAATAGTTTATGGATCACCCTTTATGTGACCCAGTGTGGACATACACAACATGCAGTACAGCAGTGCACATGTCCGACTGGGGATTAACTGCTGCTAGTGGTTCAAATGTTCAATCCGTTAATATAATTTAAATTCTGCTACTTTAGGACTCATAAAAGCTGCCAGAGAGTCCACGCCTCAGTAAAGTCATTTAATGGTATCTCCCAAATCCTACCGACATCAAACAGCACAAAGTCAGTCACACTTCATATGATGTACAGTATATTAGTTTCAAGCATCAATTGAAAAGAATAAGGCCTGGGATTTACTTGTTTTAACTTCACTTTTGAGTGCGCCTGACGGCTGTTTCACATCCCCTGCTTCTGTCAAAAGAATAAGAGAAAAAAAAACACAAGATGCAGTATGGGCATGACTGGTAGGGTCAGTGTTTAGGCAGAGGGGGTGTGACAGGTTCAACAAGGTTCAAGGTTTTGAAGACAAGCCGATAGTATAAGTCTATAATTATCTACATCTGTACCATGTGTCATTACCATAGCACAGCTCCATGTTAGTAGTTGATATGAAAACCTTCTAAATGGAAACAAGTACAGGACTGTTAGTGCGTGCAAAGAGGAAAATGGAGTGGACAGTGTGTTCTGTTCACCAATGATCAGTCAGCTGATCTGATGTTGATATTTATTATTGATGTTACTGGTATGTTAGTTCTGATCTCAGAATGAGTGTCACGATGTCTGTTTACATCCTTTATACAGCCTTGCTTGGTCTTTGGTTTAAAGGTATCCAGTAAGAGCTTTAGTGCATAGCCAGGTATGTGAACATAGTGTATGTGAACACAAGGTTAAAAACCGATGATATGTCTGTCCTAAGGGCATCTAAAGAACTATAGCCAATGAAGCTGTGGGTAAAAGCATATGTTATGTTATTAGCAGCTTCAATTTAAACTGCAATTAATGTTGATGGGGGAAATGCTCGATGGGGTTTACAGAAGAGGGAAATATGAATTTAAGATAGAATCAAAACTGTCAACAGGAAGTCTTGAAGAACAAGGGGAATTTGACAAGACCAACTTCATTTTCTATAAAGTACATTTTTGTAGATATTCCAATAAATACGGCGAGTTTTGGTTAAAGAAAGTGTACTTTGGTAAAGAGGGAGAAATGTTGAACACATAGGTGGAATAACTTAAGGTGTTATGGTAGTTATGGTAGAAGGGGAGGGGGGGAATTGGAGCTGTGTTCTTTACTCACACTAAAACAAAGGAACAAAAAGGCTGGGCAGAAAGGTCTTTTACCTGCTTTTTGTAACATAACAATGAGTAAGGTCTTTTTACCTGCTCTTTTGTAATGTTAACAGACAAAGAGTAAGGTATTTTACCTGCTTTTTGTAAAGTGTCTCGAGATAACTCTTGTTATTTTTATACAAATAAAAATTGATTGATTGATTGAAATAACTTAGAGAAAGAAGAGTTATTTTTTATATTATATCAACTAATAGAAAGCATGTAATGTAGTCAAGTAATAAATATCATAAGGCTGTGTGAAACGGTTTTATGTTTTCAAAATATATATGTATCAGTGGCAAAATCAGTTGTAGCAGAACTTCTTGTTGTACAAATTAAGGCTCTTAGAGAGTGTGTATAGTCCGTGCAATCAGAGTCAAGGCAGGTGAAATGTCTTAAAGCGTAATCAGGGCTAGTGTAAGCTGACAAGTAGAGAGCCACCTGAAAGAGGTGTTGTACAGTTTTGGAGACCAGGCAAAAAAAAGAATTGATGAAGGAGTTGTGCCCCCCAAGATTAAACAAAGTAATAAAATATGTTATTTGTTGCTGCTTCAGACTCAGAGACCTGGGGCCAGACTATACCCAGACCATTCAGACATTTACATACAAACAGCAGACAAATGGGGGAGTGGTCAAGTGTACAGGGCCCTTGTGAATGGGAGTCTTAACTTAAGATTTATTATTATACCTTTATTCTTTATGTAAAGTAAAATATTGGACTAAATATTCTTAGCTCTCTTGCTTTTGTGGTTTTTCAGTAAAGGGAAGAGACAGTCAGAGAAAGAGAGAGGAATTTGAAAGCAGCAAACAACTCATTCTATATGAACTATAATCTATTTTATACAAAAGGAATGAAGGGACAATAACTGTAATTCATAATATACAATAGGCTAAGGAATTTCCACGTTTTGTCGACTGTTCTACCATAACATTGTGCATCAAGTTAAAGTTTAACCACAGACAGCCATTATAGAATGATTCAACATTCAATTACAAAGGAATTCATGTGTTGCCCTGTGTTATTGTGTAACTAAACTCTGCTTGGGGAGGACACACTGTGAGTATAATGTTTATGTTATGTAGGTAGGGGTCCAAGGCAAGGGTCTGTGGTCATGATAACTGGTCCATGAGCAGACAGGAGTATGTCAGAGACAGTTATTTAATACACCAGTACAAGAAGCTCACTGGCACCCTCATGTTGCCCCTCGATCAATGACACACATGTGCTGTTACTGATTTGACATTTCATTTGAATTTGACAAGTTGAATAACAGTATTAAGATAAAAAAGTGGACTGAACATCAGAAAGGTATATTAACACTAGTACTGTCAATGCCCTCCCCGCCCCCCATTGAAACTTTAAACACAGAACTAAAACTTAGACTATAAAGGCAGAGGACAGTGTAGCATGGAAGCTAACATAACAGTCTTTTTCATAAAATTAAATGCAATTGACTTGCTTCTTCTTCTTCTTCTTCTTCTTCTAATGTTATGTTTTGTTTTGTTTATTTCTATTATTTTTTTACAGGGAATAATCCTTAAGGCTTTGCAGTGTGACAGATCCTGAAATGAAGAAAAGGCACAAAGGAGCATCGCCTAATTTCTGGAATTTGTTGCGTTTTTAATTTCTAACATAGAAACATTTCCATTAAAATGAAATGTTTTGAGACTCTGTCTCTCCGAGACATTTATAAAATAAATTATTTGTTGAATATTTTTCTTAATTATTTTTTAAATAAATGAGTTGACTGAGCTGTGAATCAAAGAACTTCTGTGATTCTTTCATTGAAAAAGAAAACATGCTACGAACCTTTCCTGGCCCATTTCAGTATGAAATGTAAACAAAATAGAAGACATTTCTATGATACTGCTGTTTTTATTGCAAAGTGTTGTGTAAAGCATTATGTTTACCTCAGCAAAAATATTTGTAATGATATACAGTAGTAGCAACATGTGCTACTAAACCTGCAACAAAGATGAATTACCTTTTCCTCTTTAGAGCTGACTCATTCTCCTTCTGAAATTCTCACTTTAAACACAACTCCCCTCTTTTGCATTGCAGTGTAACCTAAGAGAAAATTAAAGTAGGCTTAAACTGTCAGCATATTTGATGCATCACAGAAGTAGCATGAAAAGAAATTGAGATTTGATAATTAACACATTGTTATTTTCTGCATTAAATGTGTCTCTTTAAAGACGGACACAGACTAACAGGGGGTTGCTCCTGCACCTGTCGTATGGTTCATTTGGTTTGGAATGAGGGACATTTTGATCAAACATTTATTTGAAATACTGATTTAGACTACAACCTGAAACTAACATTGTCAATTTACCAAATGTAGTTTGATTGTACTGAAAGTGGAGCTGCACAGCATTTATAGAAACAACAAGTGATGGGATAAGGGTTTAACAATGTGAGAACTTAAACTAAATGATTATTTTATATACTTTATTAATCCCCAAGAGGATATTCTGGTTTTACACACATTATTATCAGAATGGGGCTGCTACACAGGGAACCAACCAGGGCTGTTGAAGGTTCAGTGCACTGCCCAAGGGCACATCAGCAATACTTGAAAAGTGCCCAGACCAACTTCAACACCTGGTCTGCAATGGGATTTGAACAGGCAACCCTCCAGTCCCCAATCCAAATCCCTACAGACTGAGCTACTGCTAGATATCATACCAACTGTAATGTTTTTATTTTATTAAGAGAAAAATAAAGTGTGCACATTATGGCAAAATACAGACAGGAGCAAGACAAGAAATGAAGTAACTGCAGAAAAAAGGGACCACTGTCTGGTGCTGAATTTTTTAAACAGGGCAATCTTTCGATCTATAAGATCTTCCTCAGGCAGATGTGGTAGGAGTGGAGTCTAGTGGGTAGCAATGATCAGAATTCATTATTACAGTAGCTATTGAACAAAGAAAAAAAGGGACAAGAAATATAAGCACCACAAGAGGGTGACATATAGCCTACCTAGGGAAGCAGATTAAACAGTAAAAATACACAATTTCTTAATCCTCTTTATTTTTTACAATGTAGCAAAAATATTTTAAAGAAATGTTTGAACTTGCAGACACATCTTATTCATCCACATACTGGTACAATACTCAAGGATAATGATCTTTGTTTTGACAAGAGAGAATCTCACAGGAAAAACAATACTCACAGGAGAACATGAGGTTTTTACTTTAGCCATGACCTTCATTGAGAGCCTTGCTGGCTGGTGTCACCACATTGAGAGAGAGAGAGAGAGAGAGTGGAATTGGCTTATTCTACTTACCATTAGATACACAATGACCTTAACCTCCAGGGTTGAAAAATGAAGCTGATGCAGAAGTGCAAAATTCCACAAACTTGAGTGTCAGCTTGAGGCAGGCTGCAGAAGCACCAGAAGTCATAAACACACATAACAACAGTTTTTACAGTTTACAGCCTGGTTCCAAAGACTAAATGGGTCTGATCAGCTCATATCTGGATCAGCACACACTGTACGGGATCATTCATATATTGAATTTAACACACAGTAGATTAGAAACAGAAAACCAGTTTTTGAACAATGAAAACAAACAATATCAGTATACGCATAGAACACAGCTCAATTCAGCTTTTTAATGATGGTAATCTACCGCAGGATTCTGTTCTTTTGAAGTGTTTGTTACCTTTTGGCCTTCTGCTTCTGTAGAGTTGTAAACTTTGATTTGAGGGATTTGAGTGGGGCCCCTTGGGTGAAATTATTTGGGGGGCCATCCTACCAGTGTTCATTACCATTATGTCTACTCCTCTTCCTCCTTTTTCCTATTTTTTTTCTCTCTCCTATAGACGGATAATTCCTTTTCATTTTTCTTAGTTTAAAGATTACATGAAACAGATGACACAAACTTTGACAAACTTTGGTTTTCACTGCAAAAATGCACACAACGCTTACCAGGGCAATGAGAGTGAGTGCTGTCAGATGGGGCCCCTTAGAGATCTCCTACTGTCATTGAAAAATGTGTTCATTTTGGGCCACTGCTTTGGTTTTAGTTTGTCAGCCCTCGGGGGCCCCCTACTGGTCTGGGGCCCCCAGCAGTCGCCTGACATGCTTGTTTACTAAATGGACCACAAACTCCAATTTTGACTTGACATCTTTAGTGGTGTATCTTCAAATAAATCAATCACGCAAAGTTGCTCTCATAATAAAATTTAAATTATTAAAATAAACAAACAAAAAAAAACATGAATTGAAAAAGACAAATGAAAGAGGGCGGTGCACAGTTATCTCCTTTGATAATGGACCTGAGTAAGTCAAAGCTAGTTTTGGTTGTAATTTGCCACTATCTTGTGGAAACATTTTAGAATTACATCCCTTGGTCCTGCCTGCTAAATACACACCAATGGGAAATACAAATAAGTAGTTTAAGAATCATAAAATTAGTAGCTTTAACACCATACAGCCTAAATATCTGGATAAATAAATGATGTTCCAACCTGAAACTAAAACTGCCAATACTCACCAATAGGCCTACTTCTTGCCTGCTTTTAAAAGTAGGCTAGGCAAGTTTTTAAAATCTGTACTTCTACTTAAGTAGGTTTCTTGTTAAGTATTGTAGGCTGATGTGTCATTTTATTAAGTCCAAGATGATTAAACTAAGCAGGCTGTGACTCTGTGAATGCTGTTTCTCCCAACAGAGTTATTGAGAATCACCACTAAGTGCAGCTCTGCTGAAGCTCAGAGCAACAAATACATTTAATTCCAGAAAGTTCTTCACAATAAAAGTCCCTTATTGTCATCTCTTTGAGGTGCTTTTATGTCCAGACGTATCAGGACATTAGGCGTTTTAAGCTGCAGCAATTTAATAGAACTCAGGCGTCTGAAAATCAAAACTTCAAACACAGATTCAGTTAGAAGCTTCAACACACAGTGACTAAAAACATCTCATATAAACTCATACAGGCTCAATTTAAAACAATACATGGATTATTTTGCCTCTCAGGTTTAGTTGCAGCAAAAAAAATGTAATGTATCCCTTACCTAAAGAAAAAAGTAAATAAAAAAGACACATTATACCTCTCTAAGAGTATTAAATGTCCTGTGTCCACTTGTTCTATTTTATTATTTCACTTTAATTTGTGAATACTTGCCTTTAATTTGAAACAACCATTGAGATTGAAATCCTTGTGTCCTATTTGCACTACAGAGAGATCTATTGTTAAAAAAGTATTTAAGTCATTTTTAATTCAAGTCAATTTTAAACAAACTTATTTATACTTTTACTTGAGTACATTTTGAAACTTGTACTTTTACTCATACATAAGTAAACATTATCAAAGTAATAGTACTTTTACTTTTGTACTCTTTCCTCTGCTAGCACTAACGGTTGTGGAATTTCTTAAAATCTGGTAAATTTGGAAGAAGCTGCCCAGGAGAATTTGTTAAGCACACTTATTTATTGAAGCTTGGTGAAAGAAAACTGACATGTCAAACAGCAAAGTGATTCTCTTAATAAAGTCACCTCGATCTGGAAGACTCTCTTTATGTTGTCAGTTATTTAACCTGCTCTATGACATATGCAATGATCTTTAATGTGTGTGAGATCATTTTGTCAAAAGCATCAGGTACAGTTGTCTGCACCTCTTTGACCCTGTTTCCTTGGAAACAGAGCTTTACTTTAGTCAACAAAAAAAAAGATAGCGGAGACACCACAGCCAGCAACAGAGGAGCCAGTGTCGGAGAAAATCTAAAATCCCCATCATTGCATACAAAAGCACATGCAAAAAATGCTTTCTTTGGAATCAATCCTGCAGATCATCTTCTGTGTGCCAGGTTAAGTGTACATCGAGAGGTACAGCCACTGAAAATAAATCATTAGTAGATTATTAACATGTTGAAATGTATCTGTAGCACCAGTTCAAAAATTAATCACAGATAATCTAAAATAAATCAAAAGATCCCACTGAACACACAAACAACAGACATTTGGCTTTAAGTTGCAAATGCAAAATGAGATACCCGCTCCCCCAGATATAAAGATTATCAAAAGATAAAACCTTAAGCTTTAACAAAATGTAGGAAATCAACACCAGCTCAGAATTTTACCTCTGTTTCACTAAGATTCAAGGTCATGCCGTCTGACAGCTGGCTGAAGATTTCTTTGGAGAAGGACACCAATGGTTAGTAAGAAAAATGTACATATGAAAGGTATTTTGTTGTAAAAGAAATATATATATTAGTTGGACCTGACCACGATGGACCACCAAAGTGATTTAAATGTCTCCCAGAGGGGAAGGGAATGTTAATGTGTGTACAATGTTGTGGATAATGGTTTGATCCTTGAGCCACAGTAACAACTAAAGTTTATCTAAAAAAGTAAGCAGACTTAATAAAAAAAACTAATTTAGGATTATAATATATTTATTTTATTTTGTGCTTTAGTTCAATCAAATGTTTCTGCTAGCAGCAGCGTCCTGTTTGTAAGTAACACATTTTCAACCGTGCACTTTCAGAACCTAAATCTTTCTATTTCAATTTCTTTACATCATGCCAATCATATTTCTTAAGGGGAACAATAATCCATACACTAATGCTGGAAGTTTTACTTTATTAACATGTCAGTGATTGCAGAAACATATATTTGATGTATATTTGTGTATTTGATGAGTTGAGTCACCAAATCAGCTGGGGCATCCTGTTGCAACCTTGCATGGATTTTGTGTCTGATGAATGATCATAATAAATAATGCTCTGGACTGGATGAAAGTCAAGCTTGCACTCATACATATTGATTGTCTCAAAATAAATATCTTGAAGGAGTGCATGTGTAGGTATGAATGGGACAAGCATGTTAGCACAAAAACAACAAAAGAATGAATTATCCAAAGTATCTGAACTTGGCCAGTTCACCTTCTGCAGATGTGCATAAAACATTTAAAACATTTTTTAAACAAAGGACAAAAAATATTTGCTGACCACAGGAAAAAGACACACACTCAACATTATTTATCAAATGAATATTTATATGTACTTTAATCATCCGCTTTCAAAATGTACTCTACTTACGGTTCATGCAGTCGAATCGCAGGACTAGACTGATGAAACTCTCCAGAGTCATGTGTCCAGAGGAGCCATAACGCAGAGCCATCAAATTAAGCATCTCATCACTAAGCTTCTTTCCTAAACAATACACGTAGGACAACAGATAAGATATGATTTCAGAGTCATGTCCTTTTTGATTTATCTTCAGATTATTTTTCATCTCTTGAAACAATGACACTCTTTAACTCTTTATTGCTTATTGGAACATAAGAATAGGACAAAGTAGTTGTTAACATTCTATTTGTTATTATTGTATTTATCCTGATAATGTTATAGATTTCCTGTTTCATTTTGGTGATACAATGTGGAACCTTTTCTCTAATCTGTTTATCATTTTAACACAAAAAACAGAAATACATCACAAAAGTATTCTTTAGGCTACAGACAATCAAGTTGTGCTATAAGTATGACTAGAATGAAATGCATAGGTAAGTACAGGTAATAAACTCCAAGCAAACAATACCTAACATATCTTGAATGTGTTTTGGCACGCTTGCAAAACAATTTTTTTGGCATACATCAGTAAAACAAAAACTTGTATTTCATAGGTGTATTCTGCAGGCACAGATTGTATCTTGGGAGGAGCGGAACATTTGGCTTCAGGGTCTAATCGGCCAGCTGTGAGAAGTCAAAGAGATGAGCAAACATTATATAACCTGGTTGGGTTATTGTGCTTGGCGAGTTGCCATAGTATTTGTTATTATGTTTTTTTATTATTGCCGTACTGTCACTGCAGCGCTTGGTAAAATCTTACTTCATAGCGGCCCTTGCTTTTTTGTATAATACAGAATGGTATATGAAGGTGAATAAACAGTGTGTTATACTGGTTTGTAGCTGGTTTAACTGACTGTTAAGAGTAGAACTAGGGACAAAGTTAGCCTTCACAAATTAATGTGGAAGCCTGGGATGTAGTTAAACACCCTGATTCATGATCCTAGTCTGCCCCTGGGACACTTTTTGCCAATCTTTTAATTTATATCATATATGTAATCACGTACTGTATACACATGCAGTCATTCCTCAAACTAATAGTTTTAAAACAAATACTCACTATCTGTTTTTGTTTGACACTTAAATGCAAATGTTATTATGGTTGCTGTCTACCAGGCTCAGCTGTAATTACAGTAATTATGCCATGCTGGTATTATTGTATTGGCACCACTATGCCATGCTGGTATTATTGTATTGGCACCACTATGGCATGTCGTCTGTTGGCTTACAACACTTCTATGTGTACATTTAAAGGAACATCAGGGACAATAATGTTTGTTTATTTTTTATCACTATTTATCACAAATGGAAAAAGGAACTTGGAAAGATTTTTACCTGTTTTTTTTTTCACATGTTCATTTTTTTCTTTCCCTCCTAACACAGGATGGTCGAACATAGCATGGACAAAAATAAATGGTTTATCATTTACCTGAAGCAGTAATTGCATTCCGGAGCTCACTCAGTGAGAGTGTTCCTGTTTGTGAAACATCCGTGCAAAAGAAAATGTCCTGGTTACAAAGAAGACAGTAATGTGAAACTTAAAACACACAAACCATGAAAACACAAGATCAAAATCTTTCATTAGGATGAACTCTCATCTGTCACTTTTAGTAAGTCATCCGTAATCTTTGTTTTATTTGATCATGCTTAACCTTCACTTGTTTTCTTTTACCTTGAATGTGCTGATCTTCTTCCACAAACGGACAAATTCCTCCCCGTTCAGTTTGCCAGTGACAGATGTCTGTAACCCATAATTAAGGGATTGAAGCAGTACATGTCATGAGATGTTCATGACCTTTAAATCATTCCAGAGTATTAACTCCATTAAAGGGCAGGCAGATTCTGGCATGTGTACAACTTAAATGTTTTTATGTAACTTGATAACTGTGAAAAAAATCCTCCTCTTTCAATTCTTGCACAAATACATTGAGACTTCCAGATAAGAGGATACATCCATCAGAGCAACCATGCTGCGACATGCGTCAATGCTGAAGCCTCCAGTTTTCAAGTCTCCTAAGTAACAATATAAAAAACACCTGGATCATTAGTTTGGTCTGAACAAATCAACATTGTAGTCCTAATCAAGATGAGTGTTTTATAAGCTCATTTATCCTGTTTGAAATTTTACAATCCAAACCTTTCAGGATTTGCTGATTGAGAATTGTCTGGAGCTTTTCAGCATCAACCTCTTCATACTGTTGTAGAAAAGAGAATAAAGATTCTTTTGGTATCTATGTAGTTGGTAGTAACAGTCAGTTAGTGTAGCTGAACAACAACAAGAAATAACATTTGCCATACACTCTTTTGATCTGCAGAGTCCCTCTGCATCTTAAAGAAAAAGCTAAAGACCCAGCTCTTTCATGAATACCTACTAACTTAATGATGATGGTCTCCATATTATTGATGATGATGATGGTAATGACGATGGTTTTTGTTTGATAGCAACGACTTATAAGATGGTTTCTATACTGATTAGAGCTCTCGAGAACTGCCGTCAATGTTGTGCTTTGCCTCTGGTCACTTTCTGCCAGCACCTGTGTGTCCAATCAGACTCAAAGCTGATCGCTTGTTCGTTTTTTTCTAGATCCTTTCTTGTGTTGTACTTACTCTCTGATGTACGTCGCTTTGGATAAAAGCGTCTGCTAAGTGAATTGTAGAATTGTACCATCACCTCTAAAGCTCTCCTGTTTTGTGTGATTAATACAGAAACTAATTGTAAGATATAGCAGTTCTTAGTTGTGTAGGTGGTTGTGTGCATGACTCTTTCTGGGTCAGGAGCAGTAACCTCCTGAAGTCTACAAAGGTGGAGCCTTTAGCAGAACACATAAGTATATCATAAGTACGTTTCATATGTTGCACTATTCCTTAAAGGCAATTACCTTGTCAGAGTATTGACGGAACAATGTTCTCTTATTTTCTTCATCTGGTTCTTTTTTTGCTTTCATGGGCTGCAAAAAAATGGAGTGCTTTCAGATCCACAGATGAATGAATACACTTGCACCATAGGTGTCATAAGTTTAACACACAGTTATCAACATGTATCCAGCAGTAATACCATGAAAATATGAACACTGATAATATGCTTCAATACATTACCTCTTCCACTTCCATATGTTCATGGTCATGGCCACTTGAGTTTTCACTGAGAAAAAAAAAGACAAATGACATTAGTGACTTGTAGTCATTGTGTTATCTCTTTAGTGGGATTTGAAATTTAGTAATGATATTCAAATTCCATAGTAAAAGTAAGCAAAATGGTGAGCTAATGTCATTTTTGAACATCAATGGGTTTTGTCGACAACATTTATTTAATACATTTGATGGCTTACTATTCATGTTGAGATTAAAAAATGAAAAAAAAACTAGGAATGTGCACGATTAGCCAACATAATGTTTTAACTTCACCCTACAATGCACCAGAACTACTAGTTGGTTAAACAAATTAATATTATTTCTATATTGACCCTCAGTACAAATCAAATGTTGCATCTAATGTAAACTAGGATAGTGACTTGAAGGCATCAACATAAGAGTCGTGCAACTGAGCAGGGTTTTGATCTAGAAAATTGCTTTAAGGCTGTGTCAGGTGAAATATGTAGCACAAATAGATAAACCCACTGCTGACATTGTTGAGCCATGCACACTGGTATCCTGCTCAATTTAAAAAGATCACAGATCAGCATAATAATAATGATAATGACTGACTGAGTCCCCTCAGCTTGAATATATCGTCCTAAGTGGTTTCATACCTTTAGACTAGTCAACTAATCTGAATCTAAATTTCCATTTAATCGACTAAGACTTTACTGGCTATCCCTAACGATAAAGGCTGTGACTTAAAGGGGGCCCTATACATTTCTAGCAGTTGGAAGTAAGTTGGTTAAATTCAAATAATATTCAGAAAATGGAAACAAATCTGTGAATCAGGACAGTTCTTTCTACTTTGGTCTCACATTATTCCCTCAGAATTGTCTTATTAAGGTGGTCTCTCCAATACATTTAGAACAACTGCACTCAACTTGCTACAGATAAAATAAATTAAAATCCCAATGTGGCAACCACTACAGCAACAATTATTGTATGAATTGTTACATTAATAAAAGTGGAACAACATTTCTTTCCTCATTAGTACTCATTTATGTAATGTTACTATTCCTAAAAAGTGATTACAGTAATATTTTACAATTTTCATTAAGCTTGCTCAACATAAGGCACAAGTGTACTTTAGAAAAAGTGCTTTTAAAGGCTGGTCAGAGTGAGTTGGTTGGGGTGAGCTGGTCAGAGTGAGCTGGTCAGAGTGAGCTGGTCGGGGTGAGCCGGTCAGAGTGAGTCACTTACTTGCCGTGGGTCTCAGCCTTGGAGAGAATGGTCAGGATGAAGGATGCTGTCTCATTGGGAGTGAAGGTAGATGGCACAATCAGGTATTCACCAGGCTCCAGACTCATCATCTCCATCACCTCACGAGCATTCATGTAGCTCTTTGTTTGAGCCACAGCTTTGTTTCTGCTGAAGAAGGAGGCTGGGAACTTCCCCTTGTATGTTTCATGCTGTAAAACCATGACAAACAGATCATTTAAGTTCAAATCTATTTCCATAGCTACATGTGATGGGCTTATACTGTGCCTGAAGATTGTGTCAAAATGCTACTTACTTCTTTGGTCAGCTTTGAAGATGAGAAACGGGTAACAAAGGAGACAGATAAATATAACTCTGATTAATATGTCAAAATGAACACATATATACACAATGCAAATAAAAATCATGGAATTTACTGATCTTTAAAGGGGCTTAATAAATATTTAATTTGATAAAATCTAGTTTAAAAAATCATCTTAAGGTGTCTTGTGAAAAAGAAATTGTTATACAGAAATATTCAGAAATCCTAATTCAAAAACTGGAAGAACAAGAAGAGCCATAAGTCAGCCACGTAAAAAAATAATGCCGTTGTTGTTTTTTTCTTACCTTAAATATGGAGAATCCAATGTGTAGATTTTGGACCAGGCGTCTATTTCTCTTGTCAGGCTTTTGCATGAGAGACACAAGCATGCTGTTTTCCCCTTGTTTGGCAGAACACTCACCGAATAACTTCTCAACTGTGACCCGATACTGAGGATTAGTCCAGAAGCTCTCTACAAGGCAAAAAGGGTTGCAAATGTGAAAAGCAATATATGAACCAATAATCATTGGCTATATGTATAATTTTGTCTATTTCTGTTTTCTCTTGATGCTGTATGTCAGAATATACAATACTGTTCACATTTTTCATTAAAATATATTATTTGATTTGTCTATAAAGTGTCCCATTACTTAGTCCTTCTAAAATCATCAATCAATAATTAATGGTTCAGTTGAATCACTAAATTCATCTTTTAGAGGTTTTGAAAATTCTAACAGTGGTTTCTTGAATGTGAGTTTTCTTTATCAGAGGTTTAGAAACATTACAGTGCAGCTCCAGTAGTGGAAAAAGAGTTGAAGGAGAGGTGCAGAGGTGTTGTAATAAAGGGTAGTCGTGAATATGTGGTTAGACATTGTGAGACTTTGAAAACTCTTGGAATGTATTGATACACAGAAAAAAAGAGGGAGCAGTGTTTGTTTTTAGGTATTTGGAATGGATGGGCTATTTCATAAAGATATTTCAGAGTTATTCTTTTTTCCTTTAATAAAGCTGTTATAAATCAAATGTTAATTGGAATAATTAATTGGATAAGTTTTAGCAGTCAACAAATAGAGCTAGAAATATTTTGTAGATTTATAAATCCTGACAGTACCGAGGTTATTCATGCATCCTCCAGCAGTGGTTCCTGCAACCCATCTGCCATCGTAGAAAGAGGTTTTCCAGTGGCATGAAGAGGTTCCATCAAGGAAGTCAGGACAAAGGCAGCAGATGTCAAGATCTGAGTAAAACCTACAGAAGTCTTCCTGGGTCATCCTGTTGACATTTATAGTCAATTTAGACAATGCTTTTTCAAATTTGAAATATATTGATCCAACTAAATTAATTTTACATACATAGATTTAATACATGTGTGATACATATATAACTGTTATCAGGTGTTTCTGGAATAAAAACCAAAGTAATTTAAAAATTAATGGTCCCATCTTATGCTTTTTCTGGTTTTGTATGCTCTTTAGTGTGTTTTCCATGTGTCCTGTGCATGTTTAGGCACATCTATTTGCAAAAATTCAAAGTCCGTGGAAACGCGGCTTCTCCCTATGTCCGCCTGCATTAGCATTAGCATTAGCCGCATGTAACGCTCGGTTCTAGCCCCCCTCGATAAAAATGTGTCAGTCCGACGTCATTGTCAGTGTGAGATCATTGATCTAAGCCCATTGGCTCGTTGTGGCAAGCCCTGCAGCTCATGTTGCACGCCCGTTAACTTCTGTAGCACACCCGCGATATGCCGTAGCCTGCGGTAGCACAGTAGTGCTAAGGTGCTAATGTTTATTCTACCCTCGGACGGAGCCAGTGGCTGCATTCCAAATATGGTAAAAGAGGCGTGACATTTCCGAAAAGCGTGCTGAGCAACTGACCAATAACAACAGAGCGGATCGGCAGACCAATCAGAGCAGACTTGGCCCACGTGGGGCTCTGCAGCGGGGGCTCAGCAGAGCGTAGCTGACAGACTCAGAGCGTAGAAGGAGCAAGGAGGAGCAGTACATGAAAACAGACACTTTTTTCGGACTTTAGCTATTGTGAACATACAAAAGTAGGAACATAGATTAAATATACGAACCCCAAAAAGGGCATAATATGGAAAAAATGAATAAATCCGCCGCACACTGTAATTGACTTTACTGTCACTTATTGTGAGTGATCAACCAATTTCTGCATGTAGCTCAGGTTTCCTCGCATATATTCAAATTACATTAAATCATTCACTGCATGTATTTTATATTTTAAAGTGGGTATTAAATGAAGAAAGTATTCAACCTGTTTAAAGAAGTAGAAGAAGAGGAACATATACTTTATTAATCCAGCAAGGGGAAATTCACTTTTACACTCTGAACATGCTACACGCACACATACATGGGCTGAAATACACACACATGCACAAACAGGATCCTGTGGACATGCAATAATGAAGAGATGACAGAGTGAGGGGGCTGCCCACAGTGAATGCTCCTGTGAGGGGTTTCGGTGCCTTGCTCAAGGGCACCTCAGCAGTGCTCAGGAAGTGAACTGGCACCTCTCCAGCTACCAGACCAACTTCCAGACTTGGTCTGCACCAGGACTTGAGCCGACAACCCTCCAGTTCCCAACCCAAGTCCCAACAGAATGAGCTACTGCAATAGAATATGAATGATTAATTATGTTCTTACCAAAACTCCCCGTCATCAGCCACAGACAGACACATCTCACGATCTTCAGGACTAACGGTTTGCCAGAAAGGGGACCTGTAGAATGCAAATGTGTTATTATATGATGAGACAAGTTACATAGGCTAAAAGACGTTTCATATAGTACCATGCATTCTGCACGAGACAAAAAGTATGCATGCATTTTTTACAATCATAAACCAACTTTGTTTGTTCTTACTTATCACTCCAGTCTCCTTTCCACTCCCCTTGACCCCAGGGGTTCCATACACGCACCAGATTTACTGGTGTCCCTTGGCTCATCACCTGTTTCACACCAGTGACAGTGTAGGCATGGCCTTGGACCAATCCATTTGGTAGCACAGTGTTTTCAGATGTCTTCTAAAAGATTTAGATGGAATAAATATAGTCCATGAAAATATAAATGAAGTTTAACAGAAGACAAAAACAATTCATTTATGTATTTTTGTTAGCTTACTTCCTCACCAAATGGAATCAGTTGACTCTATATGTAAGTACAACTGTACATAAAAAGGTGTCAAATAAACAATTAATAAGACCAAAGAGTTCAAACAGGGATCTAAATTGATTGTATTGTGTTGCACTTTGACATGCAATGCATTCACATCTGCTTTCTTGACCAAAAAAAACCCAAACTTTTCTTTACCTCATACCATCATAAAAAAAATTCCAAGGTAGAACTGCATTCCAAGGTGAAGTGTAGTTAGTTTTGATTTACTTCTATACTACTACTTCTAGCATGTAAACTCAAACTAGTTATTTCATTCACAAACAGCTCCAACCAGGTAATTATTTATTTTTACTGCCAGAGAAGATAAATCAAATTAAAGCAGTTGTTAGTTTGTCTATTTTAATTCCAATTCAAAGAAAATGTGCCTGTAGTTTTAAACTCAGCTGTCCTGTTTATCAAAGAGTAATGAATCAGTGGCAACCTGACATGTTGAAACTTCTCCAGCATTTCATTTCATGGTAGAACAGAGAGACCTACATCTATGTTTAGTTTCCTGATTTAAAAACAAGAGTTGTCATCAATCAATTCATTAACAAATATGGAGGCGGCAACTCAGGGGTAAAATATCAGAAATGTTTTTATCTCTTATTCTGCCTTTATTTATGAAGCTGACCTCCAAGTAGCATGATGCACATAAAATACATTGATCCAGCTAGTTTTGTGTTTTTTTGTGATAAATCAATGCTTACATACCCCCTGGGGTGTACCGCAACCCATCAGTGACTTAGATTGACCAGCTCTGCACATCAGCTCCCACAGATTGTGGGGGGGGTCTGCCAGCTGGACACATACGTGAACACCACCAGTGAAGTCCACCATAGCCTCAGCAGGAGTTCCAGCATTCATGTCAGCATAGGAACCACACACTCTATCACAAGTAGTTGTACTTTTTACACATAGTGTCAAAAAAAAAAGTACAAATAAATTCTCAAATATGTGTGAGAAATAAAATACTATGTTACATACTTTGCATAGGCTTTCTCCAGCAAAGCAGGCCAGAACTCAGTCGGGTCCGTGGAGTGAACGAAGATTAGTCTGCCATCAATTGTTGGTAGCTTGTCGTCAATGACAACATCCACCCATCTTCCAAATCTCCAGAACTGTATTCATTAGAAATAATATGATACCAGTTTAATATCTAAGTGAGATATTGTGTGTAGCATTCATCAGAATGATTTATTCATTGGTAATAATTGCTGGTTCACCTTAAAGTGGAACAGGCCACAGTAGTCCTCTTCATACCTTTGCTGAAGAGGAACAACTTGCTCAAAGATATAAGTCTGGAATGTAAGTGCTCCAATAGATGCAAGAAACCAACAGTTACCTGGTAGGAAAGAAAAAGTTTCTTATGAGAAACTTATACTGAGGAAGATTAGTGATAAAAAATAAATGACTATTAGAATTCTAGGAGAGCCAACAGGGCTAAACACATATCTCTAATGTCTACTGTGCAGCTTGAAACTATTATTATTATCAATGAAGTACATTTCTTACCAACTAGGCCTTGACCAAAGTCAAACCTGGAAACCCCATCAACAGTAAAAGATGGATTTGGAACAAGTTTCTAAAACAAAAAATATACAATACAGAAATTGTCAAAGTCAAAGTCTCACCCCAGATATAACGTAAAGCACAGTAATAATCATCAAAAAATCCCATCTTCAAAAATATATGAGGAAATATTTTATCGTAAAATAGTATGGTTATGTGTGGTTGGTAGTTCTGTAACTGGGAATAGGTACAGTACATACCCTTAATACATTGACAAGGATCAAAACTATTGAGAGTTGAAAGTGTTTAATCATTTGCACCCAAAATATCCCAACAGTACAACCCAGAACTACAGCAAAAGAACATTTAATGGCTGACTTTTCCCTATGTTTGCTACATGTGTAACAATGAGGCAAAAGGGACTTGATCTGAGTTTTCGTATATTTAAAAAAACAGAAATGCTGGTTTACCACAGAGATCATTTCCAACTTAATACATTTAGATTTCTGCTGGTTTAGGATTATTAAAACAAAATCTAACCATTAACTCAAAGTAACAGCCATAACTTACCCCCGGTCTCAGCCACACGACTCGAGCCATGTCAGTAGGGCTCAGTAGCCCTTCACCAATTGAGTTTCTATCAGGTGGGAACATATCATCGACAAATCTTACACGCCGGATGAGACAGTACTGTTTCAGCTGCTGGAAGTCTTGGTTGAGAAACTTCTCAGGGTTAACAACAGTCCCATAACCGTCTTTCTTGCGACGTGCATTGATGATGTTCATACACACACCTGGTGGAGGCATGGCTGCAATGTTTCAGCTCTGTTCAGAAAAGGAGAAGAGTACAGAGTGTGAGAAAAACCAGCATGTACACATTCCATCATTAACAAATAACTCGCCTTGTGATATGTTGCAGCTTTACTAGAGTTCAAATAAATAAAAGGAAATGTATGATGTGTGTTGATTTGTAAATTAAATAGTTTCTTATTTACTTATTTAAATGTATTATCTTTCCTGAACATCACTTAATTTCCAACCAGTTCCATTCAGCCAAAGAGAGTAAACATTTTAGGTTCTTCTAATTCATTTTGCATAAAATATAGGGTCTCTCTTGACAATATTCTAGTTATTGGTACAGTTCATTGACTTCATTCTTATTATGGCAAAAAATATATAAATATAGCGGCGAGACGGCTGCTCGCCGGGAGCCGGCGAGCCCGGCCGTGGCTAAGCCGGTGGCCGGGCTCCGCGACACAAGACCGGCCTGTCGGCAGCAACCGTCTCGCAGATATATTGCCACCGCCGGCCGCTGCCACCTCAGCAGCAGAGACATGATGCCTGCCTGTCGGCGGCGACAACATAGCAAGTTTCCTTAATGTCTGAAGATATAGTAAAGTCATTTAAAGATTCAATTCAGTATGTTTTACATTTTGTTCTTTAAGTCAAAGTTAAGATTGATCTGTTGAAAATGTGTCATATAAAGACGTTAATCTTACCTCCAGCCAGAGAGAGAAGTTGATGATGATGGGTCGATCCCAGTTATTTTATAATGCCTGCATGCCCCCTCAGGCTAATACAGTGAGCAGAGGCTGTTCCTTTATGAACCTGTATTACAGGTAACCTGAGAGTGTTTCTCTCACTCCTGAGAAATATGGAGCAGGGCGGGGACATGTTACATAAGAACAAAATCTGAATGTAGATGTTTGAGCTAACTCGTATTGCCCTTTTTGATCACTTTGTTGCTGATGACTTATGACAGATTCTGATGAATGGTTCTTTTTGTGATTCCTGTATTTATGTGTTTTATGTCTGAAACCCTGTAATTGTGCTGCTGCCTGTCTTGGCCAGGATGCTCTTGTAAAAGAGATTTTTAATGTCAATGAGACTTTTTCCTGGTTAAATAAAGGTTAAATAAAATAAAATAAAAGTGTCTATGAGGGACAAAAAATGACTAAAGTATAAATAAATAAATAACTAAATGTTGGGAGAAATGCATACAATAATGTATAAATAATTAAATAAATGCATCAATAAATATATAAATAAATATATAAATGCTAAAAACAATACATCAATGAATAATAAATACACTTTGTTCATGAAAAAGGCTATTTATATATTTTTTACATGTATTTATTCATTTTATTAGCGTATTTCTACAGTTATATATGTATCAATGCATTAATTTCCACATTAATTGAGTTATTAATTTATTTCCGTTTTTTTACATTTACACATCTATTTATTTCTGTATTTCTGTGTCCAGGTCCTAAGAGGAAAAGTATATATGTAAATTAAGTGGGCTGTCCTTACATCACTCTGAAACAGGATTGGCTAGATTGATATGATTTGATCTACTACTACTGCCTTGACCGTTCTGACTCTAACTGCTGAGTTAACAAATTGTTTGTGTTTTCAATGGAGGGGTTTGTCAGAGCTGTTGCCGATGGTTTAAGATCTTTGGCGAATGATGTTGAGAGCAATGCACACAATGACTACCTTCAGTTTCATCTTGAAAGTTTAATGGAGGATTTAGTTCAGCTTAACGCTGATGGGGATACTGAAGTTGACTTAGAAGTTCTAGATGGTCTTCAAGAAGTTGCACACCAACTTTACGTTGTGTCGGAGACAGCGGAAGCGACGATAGGTCGTCCATCATACCGTTTGCCTCCTGATATAATCCGAGTTCACTAATGTTGGGGAATACAGCTGGAGACATTGTGAGGTTGTTTAGTATGGGATAAGGTAAATTGAATCACCTTTCTGCCGAGCAGATCGGGCAGAATTTACTCCACAAATTACACAATGCTGCAGGAACAGGTCTAACAATATACGTGGCGTGATCTTGTTTGTTTTCCGTGACTGGACATGTTGTGTGAAGAACTCCAACAAGGGAATTTAGATAAAATATGGACTCAGTCGGAAAGTAGCCTACGTTGAGCGTGCTCGACAGAAGTTAAGCTAATGAAAATGCATCTGACATCTTGTGATCACTGTGTTTTTTATACCATGGTCTTATTTGTGTAATGTGTATTGTATGATTATTAGAGTCCATGACTTATTAACACCGTTGGACGACAAGGATCTGGATGAAATTGTGACTCAAATTCTGCATCACCATGCCAACTGTGTGTAGCCGGTGGCACCTGAGATGCTGCCATTCTCCGCGAGGGTATAAAGGGGGGTAGGAACAGTGAGGCAGTGTTTTGGTTCCCAGCCGGAAGGAGAGGGATGGTGCACACCCTCATTATGCCGGCTGTTTTGTTTGTTTGCGTCTGGGAAAACTATTGTCATTTGGTCGCAATGTTCGGACCATAGACTGTAAAAATAATGGACGGGACAAGGTCCCCGGTCTCGTGAAGCTTTTATTTTTATTGCTCCCCCTACTGACTGGCTGCAGTATAGGTCATAAACCCCGCCTCCTCAATGATAACAGACGGGATGTGGGTCAAACTGTAAAGCTAAAATACTCGTCACATAATTTTTTTTCAAACCTAAACTCTGCTGTGATCATTAGTTATTATCAACCTACATTGTGTTCAAGTGCTCATTTTTCTGTGAAGTTTGTTTTAAATAAGTTATTTGAGGTTGAAAAACGGGATTTTACGTCATATTTGACGATGATTGACAGCCGCTGATCTTGCGTAGTTCTCTTTGTGAATAGCAAAAGTTACGTAGTGAAGGAAAGCCGAGACGCCATTGAATTTTTCCGTTCAGTTTTTTCGTCTTTTTTGAGCTGGAAAATGAGTTGTTCTGCAGTAAACTGTTCTAACCGACCTGTGGGAGCTAAGGGATCTTTGCAGTTCTTTCGGTAAGTAAAAAAGTGATTTATGTGTCATTGGTCGTTATCTAGCTAGCTAACACATAAGCAGTCTAAGGTTAGCTGAAATGTTGTAAAGCTAGGTTACTTATCCGGCATGATTTATCTTTTTATTTTATTTTATTAAATGAGCAAACCTAATAACTGACATGCTATGTTTCTTGATATTGTTATATCGTTATTGTGATTGAAATTGTATTTAAAACCAAGAATCGTAATATAAAATCCGCTCATAGATGTGGTTCATTGACTGTACAGTTATTTTACAGCAAAAATAAAAACGTCTGGTAAAGTCTCAAAAAAGTATCTAGGGCAAAAACAAAGCCAAATAATTTAAATCTGGCCTGCATCATTACTAATGTGAACATGTTTACAGTCTGAGTGATAAGTGGGCTATACCGAGAGTAACAGGTTTTACTTTCACCGTGCAGGCTGAAATTCATAGGACTATATACGAGGGTAGAATATTTCTCTATGTATCCAGATAAAACTAAAGGTAAGATGTGATTTAATATAACTGTTACTGATTCAAGAGACTAACCGAAACGTGAACGCAAACATCAACAACCGGCGGCGGTGTAATGTATATTAACCGAGCATCATGCTGCTTAAACGTGATAAATGTTCTGCATTGTCTTCCACACACCAATTCAACAGTCACAAGTTGATCATATTGTAAATTTAATGATGCTCATTCAGAATTTGTACTAAAAAATGTTTCGGTGATTGTGACTGTGTCTGTATTTAACACCTTTGAAAGGAAGGTGTTAATGCAGGAGACCAGTGTTACACACAACAGGCTGCTGTTACGTTAGTTAGGAGGAGACAGAGGCACAATCAAAGAAGACATAAAGATCGTGTTTTCCCCCACACATGTTAATATGTTTTGAATGTCATGCATTTATTTTTGATTTCGCTTCAACAATCGTTAACGAAGAGAAACACCAGGATTAAACTACAAGCTATTGTTGCCTTTTTATAGCCAAAGAAAACTGAACATTCACAGCCTCTGTATTCAAAAGAATTTCAACATTGATATTTATTTCTTCCTATTTCCCTCTTTTCGCCAACATTATATTTTAAACTGGGGATTTCCTTTTTCTCTGGTCCCTCGTCTCTCCCCCAGCTCGCCCCCTCTGGTGCGCTCCTCTCCATTAATGCGCTCGTCTCCTCCCTCTAAAGCTGCTGCTACTCTGTAGGACACTTTGATTGGGGCACCTCACCAATAAAATACTATTTTATATTTTTTAAGCAGTTTGCCACCACACTGTACTTTTACTCTTCAAAGGCATATGAGTATGTGCGTGACAACTTTAACAAAGCTTTACCACACAGTCACACCATCCACACAGCTGATCCAGGATTTACTGTAGCATCTTTTACAGCACTAAAAGGTCATGTACAGGCAAACAGAGAGAAGGGAAAAGAAACTTTTTGAGGAATTACAGCTAAAAAAGATTCTACTTTGCATACAGTACATACAGTACATCCTCTTTAATAGTTCTCCTGTCTTTAAAGTCAACTTTAGAAGCTGAAGTTTAGCAGAACCTGAGGACAGATCTGATTTCAGGTCTGAGGCATAAACATCACAGTAAAATTCATTATACTTTACATTTAACTCTGTGATGTTTTTCTTATTACAGAAGATGCTCTCAGATTCAGATCCATCAGCAACCCCTGACAACATGGAGGACTCGTCCCCTGAGCGTTTCCTGTCCTCTCTCGATGGTCTTCTTCTCTTCAGTTATTAACTCTTGAAAACAGCAGCACAACATGCCAGACTGTTTGACAAGTGTGTGATTGAATAAATTGAAATGGAATCTCATGCGTATCTTGCTATGCTTATTGGCTTTAAATGTTTAATATTAAATAAGTTTGAAGGCCATTTATCTCAGACGAGACCAGCTGTGACAAGCTGAGCTCGTCTGTTAGCTTTGCTGTTGTCTTAGCTGTTGTTGGTCAAGAAGAAATTAATGTCAGTTCAAGGCCTTTTC